GTTCACTGCCAAACTCCTCAGGGTTTCAGACACTAAAAGTCTTTGTACTATTCCCCCTCCCCCAGAGAGAGACACCGAAGGGAAGATTCTGTGTATCTTGCAAGGGATTGGGAAGTTCCTTCTGCTCCTGGGCTTCCTCTACCTGTTCGTGTGCTCCTTGGATGTCCTCAGCAGTGCCTTCCAGCTGGTTGGAGGTATGGATGGGAGGGCTGAAGGGCTGGGGTAGGGGGGTTCTTTTTTGGTTCAGATCCTCGCCAGGCATCAAGCCCTCTCCAGCTGCATTTTAGGGCTGGGAGCCATCTCGGCTCATCTCCCATTTTACAGAGGAGAAAACCGAGGCCTACAGAAGTCTGACTGGCTTAGGTGGCGTAGGCCAGGAGCCAGGGCTGGAGCCAGTTCCAGGCATCCAGTGCCTTGTGTTTGTCCACAAACCTTAGACAGGAAGCTGTTTGACATAGATTTATCTAAGGGATCCCTTCCTTCTTGGGGGCCTTCATGTGAGGGGAGTATTGGATGAGAATAATCTTAGGCCAAACTTACTAAGGGAATCAAAGCTGGACCTTTGCCGGAGGACAGGCGTCCCCAGACTGGGAGAGCCTTCATCCAGCCCTGAGCATGGCCCAGCCTGGTCGTGAAGTGTGAACTCACCACGGGCTTGGTCACCTTTGTACCCCAAATGGGCAACGACACTGACAGCTAGCACTTTGAATGCCTCCTGGGTCCGGGCTTTTTCAGGGGCACTGTCTTCAACATTCCTTCCCAAAGCCCTTCCCATTTATAGAGGAGAAGGCCGAGGCTCAAAGAGATCCTAAGGCTCACAGCCTGTAATTGGCATAACGACATTCAAATTCAGGTCTGGAGGACACCTGGCCATGACTTTTTGCATTCCTTGGTGCCTCTCTTGAGAACTCATCTTTGTGACCTGGGAGAATTGGGGTAAGGGGCTTGCTTTCTGGATGTCACTTCTGGTCGCCCTGGTCTTAAGCAATAGCAGTGAGGGTCTCAGAGGCACACACAGAAATGACAGCTCCAGCATTCAATTACAGGCTGGGGCTAGGGCTAGGGCTTGAGGGAGGGAGAGTGGATAGATGAGAAGATCCACTCTTGGAGGACAAATCTTATGAATTGGGAATATACCCCAGAGATAGGAGTTGAGACAGGAAATTCACTGGCACCCATAGGGGCAAGTACAGAGTTGAGGCCAGGTTCATGACCAGAAGGTTAGTGGTTGAAGAAAGGGAGGGCACAGGATCAAGCCACAAGAGGAACAGGATCTGGGGTGTGTGGGGTATGTATCCTGGCATCAAGGCAGTGCAGGGGAAATGCATGAGGGAGCAAGCTGCCACAGGTGCCAGCAGGGCTGGAGGCTGAGATCCACAAGCAAATGTTGGCCACTTGGTGCCCACCTAACCCCCTAACATGTGGCCATGCTTTGTTTTGTTTTTCCAGGAAAAATGGCCGGGAAGTTCTTCAGCAGCAATTCTATCATGTCCAACCCCCTGGCGGGACTGATGATCGGGGTGCTGGTGACAGCCATGGTGCAAAGCTCGAGCACCTCCACATCCATCATCGTCAGCATGGTGGCCTCCTCACGTGAGTTCAGGCACCCACGAGCCCAGACCTATTCCAGACGTTTCCCTGTGGCTGGGAGCCCGCGATTTACTCTGCATGTGTCCAAGCTTATCACCCTGATCTCCCCATCTTGTCCTATTATGATGTGTTCCACTCTGAACCTCAGGCAGCTTCCTGTCTCTATTTCCATAGCCCAGTCTGAGAATAGACCCTGAATTATCTGGAGCTGTGCTGTCCAGTCCAGCAGACACTCACCATATGTGGCTATTTAATTTTATTTAACCCTAATTGATTTTAATTGAAAATATATAGCCCGGCCGCTCAGTTGCACTAGCTATATTTTAAGGGGTCAGTAGTCATCTGTGGCGAGCAGCTGCCATTCCAAACTTGAACCTGACTGAGAGTGGAGACAGATTCCCTGAGTGGGACAAGTGTGAACACATGAATTTTCAACCCAAACTAGCATTTTAGCCAAAATTAACTTGAGCCTTTTCTGGGCCCAATTAGAAAAAGATACTACTTCTTTAAAATAACTTATGTGCTGGAACATTGTGGCACTATATTAATCTTGTTTAGAAAAAGAAATTATACAGAAACTTGCCATGTTTGTTATTTGTTTTCTGGTCTCCCTCAAGGTGGCCTTGCCTCTGAGGAATTGAGAAAGACACTTCAAAGTAGAGCTCACGAAGGGTTTCTTGGGGTCTGTGGATTCCCTGGAATTATGTGCTCAAAAGTCTTTTTGGTCCATGTTTATATTTCTATATGAGTCGCCCTAGCTTTTGTCAGATTCACTGCAAGGTGCATACAGGTGAAGAGCTGCTGCTCTAGGCAGTGACTAGTCTGATGTATTCAGCCTGCCTGGGGCACCTCAGAACCTGGCCAGGCTGCCTACCTATACTCGCTGGCTTGCTGACTTCCTGTTTTCTACCCAGTGCTGACGGTGCGGACTGCCATTCCCTTTGTCATGGGAGCCAACATTGGAACCTCGATCACCAACACCCTCGTGGCGCTCATGCAGGCAGGTGACCGGAATGTATTCAGAAGGTAGGAGGCTCAGAACTAGCCCTTGCCACCAACAGGCCCATCGGTGTTGGCCAGCTTGTCATAACTACCTTTAGATCGCCACTGACAATGTGCTTGTCAGCCCTGGCCCGCCTATTCCTGGCCATAGGGGAGTACAGCTGAGGGTAGGGATCATGACTGGAAACAGCCCCCTGATATGCACAGCAGGGGTAGGAATGGCACCATCACTGTGTTGTCTAAAGGAGTAAACACAATCGTACAGGTAAACACTTAGCAAGGTGCCTGGCACAGAGTCAGGGTTCCCTAAATGCAAGCCCTAGCTAGAAGCTTACCACTTGCAATATGGTGCAGTTAAGACAAGGCCAGCTAGGTTGTGGTTTCCTGTCCTGCTTAGTCAGAAATAATTATAACCTGAAGCTTTCATTTTTGGCCAGCTCAACCCATGCCACTGTTTCTTTGTTCTTCACTCACCTGCTACTGAAAGGCAAAATGTAGCTTTTGTGGATGTGGATGTGTGAGATATGAAATGGGGCGGGCTGGAACCAGGCAAAGGGAACCCTTTGCTTCCAAAAGGTTAATGTAAAAAGTAAGCACATTTCCTGGCCTCTTTTCTAATAGGCGATAGCTTTCTTTCTTTTTTACTAAGATGGAGAGGCAGTTTTCAGCTTGTCTGTGTGATGTTCGTGCAGTGGGTCAGGCAGATGGCCTTGGACAGGCTGGTTGGGGGGGCAGCAGTCGTAGATGAAACACTACTGCACATTATCCAGGGTGTTTGCTCATCTGATCTTCTCAAGAAGCCAAGTTGGCTTTCCTACGGCACATTATCCAGGGTGTTTGCTCATCTGATCTCAAGAAGCCAAGTTGGCTTTCCTATGCCCCATTTTATTAATGTAAAGAGACAAAGAGGCTAAGCAACTTTGCCGAGAGGAATGGCTGGAATTCAAGGTTTTCTTATCCAGATTTTGGGCTCTTTCTACTGTTAGATGAATTTTTGCCTCTGGATAACCCATGACATACAAACATGAGCATGTGATCTACGGTGGTGCCTGCTCATAGGAATGTGGTTGACCTTCCTCACCACTGTTGGAGATATTTCAATAGATTGACCTTCCTACACTGGTGCCCACTTGCTCATTGACTAACCTGGCTGCTGACTCGGGGTTCCCTTCCATAGGGCTTTTGCCGGGGCCACCGTCCACGACTTCTTCAACTGGCTCTCCGTGCTGGTGCTCCTGCCCGTGGAGGTCTCCACCCATTACCTGGAGGTCCTGACCAACTTGATAGTGGAGTCCTTCCATTTCAAAAGTGGAGAAAATGCCCCGGAACTTCTGAAAGTTATCACGAATCCTCTTACAAAGCAAATTATCCAGGTAAGGTTCAAGTGTTAACTCCCTCCCCCTTGCCTTTCACCCCACTCAGTCGGGGATGGACAGGAAGGAATCTCTGAACACCGCTATTTGGCTGCCTCTGAAAAAAGCCAAGGAAAATGAAACTGGGGAACACTAGGTAGAGTAACGGACCTTTCTTGTTTCCTTGACCTCAATATGCGTGTCGTGTTGGAAGGCGGAGGGAGATGGTGAGTGCTTCTCAAGGCTCAAGCACTGCCCATTGGACACCTGGGGCCATTTTGGTCTCACTACTGACCTCAGCACCAGTGGGGTCACTGGCAAAGTATTATCCTACTTCTAGCCAAAAAGAAAGGCTACTGCCCTTCCCCTCCATCTTCCCTCTGGTCACCAGAGTCTGTCCATATTATTAAATGAAAGAAGGCTTTGTGAATGTTGCCTTAGGAGAAGGGGCCAGCTTAGACCTTGCCCTCTCACTCTCATTTCTGGTTTTCTCTGCCATTCAGTCACCCAGTGAATACCTACACGCTTTCTAGGCACCAGTTCACTATTCACATCTTTCACTCGTTTATTTATCAAGCACTTGCTGATCCTAAAAAATCAAAACTGGCCCATAAGGAAATAAGTCCTTGAATGCTGGATGGACAGACAGAATGCAGTAGAATGGGTCCCAGCTCACCTTTGCAGGGCCTCGCCATCTGTTCACCTCCTCTGAGGCCCTGTCTGTAGCAGCCCCTGCGAGTCCCTCCCATGTTCGTTCTGAGTATGTGCGAACTCTCTTCTGTCTATTGCCTTCCTCAGCTGGATAAAAAGGTTATAAACCAGATTGCAATGAATGACCCAGCAGCTCAGAACAAGAGTCTGATCAAGATTTGGTGCAAAACTGTGACCAATGTGGTAAGTTTCTAAGAATATTGGTGGGTGAGTGGACTCTTTCATCTGTACTTGAAGCAAATTCTTTCATTCGAAGTGGGCAAATAAAAGGTCAGGCAAAAGAAAATTGGGGACTCCTAAAAAATCAAAACTGGCCCATAAGGAAATAATGAATGCTGGATGGACAGACAGAATGCAGAGAACCTTTTGCCCCATCCCATACCACAGATACATTATTGTCACTTGGCATTATTTTCATGTCCCTTGACTTCTGGCTGCTTCTGTTCCCATTTATGGAGAGACCATGGTCTCCCCCTTCTCCCCACTAAAATTGAGTGTTTTTTTTGCCATCTAGACTCAGATGAATGTTACCGTCCCCTCGATTCAGAACTGCACCTCCCCCAGCCTCTGTTGGACAAATGGTTTCCACACCTGGACCATCAAGAACGTGACCCACCGGGAGAATATTGCCAAGTGTGAGTAGAACTCAGAGCATTAGCCACTGGGACGGGCTATCTGGGGTGCTGGTGGTGAACAACCAAGATTCTGTCACTATGAGACAGAAGGGATAAGCTGGGGCCTAAATAACAATCTGTGGCTTAAGGGACTCCATGCCCTTCTAATAAGGACTTTCCATGGTTTCTTCAGGCCAGCACCTCTTTGTGAATGCCAACCTCCTGGATCTTGTTGTTGGCATCATTCTGCTGGTCACCTCCCTGCTGGTGCTCTGTGGCTGTCTGATCATGATCGTCAAGGTCTTGGGCTCTGTGCTCGAGGGGCAAGTAGCTATTGTCATCAAGAAGACCATCAACACTGGTAGGTGAACTGCCCCCCACCCCCCTGCCCCATTTGGGGCTTTCTGGGGTTGGCATCACTGTTGCCACCTCAGGGAAGCTCCTTTAGATTCTTATCTAGCAGCGGCCTCTGTATGGATTTTATCTTTGGATTTGAGAAGCTGCAGAAGCTAAGACACTCTTGGCCCTTGAAATCTTTCTTGGTGTCTTGGGTGGGACCTGAGGAACAGGAACAAACTTGGATTGCATGTTTGCAAGGTCCTGAGAAAGAGCCAGTTCAAATTCAGAACTGTGGACCCATCCTTCCCACGGGTTTCCTACCCTAGCACGTGCACCCACTCTTGTCCTGTGGAGGTGCCCCCCAGGCCTTCATCCCATGCCTTCCTAGAAGGCTTGTGACATAACTTTTCCTTTTGTCTTCCAGATTTCCCTTTCCCCTTTTCCTGGCTGGCTGGCTACCTGGCTATCTTAGTCGGGGCAGGCATGACCTTCATCGTGCAGAGCAGCTCAGTGTTCACGTCTACTTTGACCCCACTGATCGGTGAGTTTCTCCCTGGCTTCTCCCTCTGGCACTGTTACCATCTCCTGTCATCCTCTGGGACTGATGTTACGGACTTTGTATTTCCCCCAGGTGTCGGTGTGATAAGCATTGAGAGGGCGTATCCACTCACGCTGGGGGCCAACATCGGCACCACCACCACCGCCATCATGGCCGCCTTGGCCAGTCCAGGCAAAACCTTGAGGAGCTCACTCCAGGTCAGGAAATGCTGCATGGGGCAGGGGCTCTATGGGTGGGATGCGACAATATCAGTGGTCTTGCAAGCAGATGGTTTCTAACAACAACCCTGCTTCTCTTGCTAAGTCTAAAATGGTAATGTGGAGGAGAAGCCATCTACTCCTTAGAGAGCCAGTGAGACTCCCATCACTGGCAGTTGATTAAACAAAAGTGGGATGGCCACTTGATAGAGGTAGAAAGAGTATTTTGGAATCATAGACATTATGAAGATCTGAGGTTCTGGCTAAAGCCATGATGTCCAATAGAAATACAATTTGAGTGTAGAATACAAATTTGAGTCACCCAGGTACTTTGAAATTTTTAGTAGCTACATTTAAAGAGTGAAAAGAAACAGGAAGATCAATTTTAATGATGTGTTTATTTAACCCATTACCATTTCAACATGTAATCAATATTTTTTAAATGTGATAATTTATATTCTCTTTTGGACTAAGTCTTTGAAGTAGCCACATTTCAAGTGCTCAGTCGCCACACGTGTCTGCTGTATTAGCCAGGGCTGGTTCAAGTCCCTAGCTTGATTCCTGGTACCTTGTGGGAGGACAAAGGATAGTGAGTGGCCTCTGAAGTCAGGCTTCCTGGGTTTGAAACCCACCTCTACCTTCTCTCATCTGTTTGACTTTGGGAAAATAGTTTAACCCCATGGTGCCTCAGTTATCTCTAATATCACATGGGGATAATATTGATAGCCACCTCATAGGATATTGTTTGAGGATTGAAGGAATCCACATAATGTGCTTAGAAGAGTTGTTTTGCTCATAGTAAACATTATAAACGTCAGCTGCTGATGCTGTTAACTGTCCCCATTCCTCCTTCTCTCCCCTCCCTAGAATGGGGCATTGAGCCAAGGGACCCAGCTGTCCTGCGAGCCTTCTTCCCCTCTGCCCCTCCAGCTCTTAACTGCTCAGCTGGAAACCGCAGGGCCAACACACAGGCCAGCAGTGGGCACATGCATGAAGTTCATTGTTAATTTGCCTAAATGACTTCAGGCTCTGAAAACTGTGCTGTAATTCAACTGGTCAACCCCCTCCCAGCCACACACACACACACTCCTCCCCTCAACCTGACACATGGTGGGCCCTCAGGCAATACAGGCCCCTTGACTGTACTACTACCTCAGCCATTCAGCCAGCTAGGTGACACCCCCTTACCCCCACCCCCCACTACCACCACCACGCGACAGACCATTCACCTGTTCAACTTCTTGTGTTTCAGATCGCCCTGTGCCATTTTTTCTTCAACATTACGGGTATCCTTCTGTGGTACCCAATCCCGTTCACCCGCCTGCCCATCCGCCTGGCCAAGGGGCTGGGCAACATCTCAGCTAAGTACCGCTGGTTTGCCGTCTTCTACCTGGTCATCCCCTGCCGCATCTGCTGCCGCTTCTGCTGCAGGCTCTGCTGCCCCACGTGCTGCCGCTGCAGCAAGTGCTGCCAGGACCCCGTGGAGGAGGAGGACATCCACATCAAGGTCCCCGAGTCCTTTCGTAGCCTCTCTATGGTCGTGGAGGCCCCGGAAGGAGTCCCCAAGTCCAAAGTGGACGCCCTGAACACAAACACCACCTCCAGCCTCACAGCCTTGTAGGGGCTGCCCCCGAGGTGGGAGGAGGGGCCCCAAGTCTCCCTCGCTCCCTCCTGGTTCTGCAACGCCGTTCTCCACTTTGCTGAGAAATGGCATCAACATCAGCTCTGACTCATTCCCCTTTGCACATGTGTCAGCCTGCATGGTCGCTCTGTCTCCGCCCCTGCTCCCTGGTCTCCCACTCCCAGGAAGGTGCAGAAAGAGAATTAGACAATGAAGCCTGGCTCAATAACGGATCCCCTCCACCCACCCACTCCTGCACACAGATGGGTTGGCCAATGGGACTTATTCTCAGACGTAACCATCTTCTGAAGTCCTAAGGGAGGAATTTATGGGAGGTTCTCAAAGATGAACACACACATATGCTTTTCTTATTGTGGTAAAATTCTCCTTTACCATAGCCTGGCTTCAACCCAGAGCAGCTGCCTCCCAGGTTTCCTCTCCCCAGAGCAGGACAGTTTCAGGGCAAGAGGCCTTGGAGAACACAGGCATGGGCCTTTGCTCTCTTCCCAGTGCTCCCTAAGGCTCCCTCACCTGGGCAGGTATGACTAGTCCAAGCATTTTACCTGCTGAGTCTTTGAGTTTCCAGGATGGGAGCCACGTTGACCCAACTGTTGCCTCATCTTCCTAAGGGGAGATCAGGTGACAGCAAGGTCTGTGTGTGTCTGTGGGTCCAAGGGATGTGCTCCTTCTTGCCCCACATGCCCTCTGTGCCTTCTAGAGCCCCAGCTGTATTTACCCCTTTGCCCTCCACACTCCGCAACTCTAGTTCTTCCTGGAGAGGAAACTTCAACCAGGTCCGGGGAGGGGGGACTATGCCACAGCGCATCCGTCATGACAGGCCGGGACACCAAACCAAGCCCTCCCCTGGCCTTCCCCCGTGTAGATACCAATTCCCTAACAGCCATTTATACGCCATATTTATAGCCGTGCACCTGTACAGCATTTTTATAAGTTATATAGTAATAGTAGTGTGACTTGTTTGGGGCTCTCATTTGGAAATGTCAAGGGAAACAAGACTATCTGTATTTTGTAATGCTGGCTTTTCAACACTCCTCTGTAAGCCTGTGCCTCACTGTAAATACAAAAGCTAAGCCTGGGCAGGGCTGCGTCCCTCTTTGCACTCTACAAATTGGATCCTTGTACCTGTATTGATTGTATTTTTTTTTAACTGGTTGTGGGAAAGAAAAAATAAAGATGATCAAACCCAAAAAGAGTGTGTTGCTTTCAATTACAGGGAAATAAGGGCCTCCTAGAACTGCTTACTAAAAATTTGGGGCTACTTCCCCCTGAAATGTTACTACTCACTGCCAGGGCCAGCTACATAACCTGTTGGTCCCCTTGGTCAAAAGGCAGGAGTAAAGTGCCATTACAGGCATGGCAGGTAGAAAGCTTTTCTTTCCTCCAGCCTCTCCATGGGCTTTTTAGTTTTTTGTTGTTTTTTTTTGTCAATCTCTCCAGCAGCTCCCCCACCAGAACTGTCTGCCTGCTCTCTCTATTTTGTTTGTTCAGTTTGCTCATTAAATTCCACATATGTGTGAAATCATGTGGTACTTGTTTTTCTCTGACTGGCTTATTTCACTTACCATAATACCCTCCAGGTCCATTCCTAACCTACTGAACAGCCTAGCTTAGCCTCGCCTACCTTAAACATGCTCAACACAATTTCCACAAAACACTGGAAACACAGTAAGTAGACTGCAGAGGGTTGGTTATTCACCCTCGTGGTCATGGCTGACAGCTGTGGCTCGCTACCACTGCTCAGGGACCTGCATCTTGATGGCTCCTACGTAAGATCCAAACTCAGAGTTCCACGGCTGGTTTCTACTGAAGGCACACTGCTTTCACACAACCATAAGTCAGAAAATCACAAGCCAAACCATTGTAAATCCTCGAACATCTGTAAGACTATCTATATAAATGGCTAATATGCAAAATGTCCACTCAGGAGTTCAATCACTCCCTATGACATGCGCTGACCACCAGGGGGTAGCACGGAACATGAGTGCTGACCACCAGGGGGTGGCGCGGAACATGGCTGGCAACCAGCGATGGTGGCGGGGCACTGAGGTAGCAAGGGAAGGAGGAAGCGGGGATGCAGGGAACCTGATTGGCCCTGATTGCTGGCCAGGCCTAGGGACCCTACCCGTGCACAAATTTTATGCACCGGGCCTCTAGCTCTTTATAAAATTTAAATATTAGCAAGGATTTTTCTGTTTGCATTGTGTGATGCCAGTTTTAAATGAAGAATTGCTAAAATCGCATTGCTCATATTTTATGGCTCATACATGTATTTCATTCCTACCAGAACAGCAGGAACATTGCACAGAACTCACTCAGTTGTTTGATTTCATTCCCTGGTGTGTGCACATTGTGCCAACTCTTGACCTCACTGAGGAGTAAAGAAGAAAGAGGAGAAGGAACTACGGCTGCCCTTGCTTCACCATCCTCATTTTCAGCCTTGGCAGGTGACTAATGCGCAGAAGTAAGGAAGTAAGAGTGAGAAAGGATGTGGTAAGGCTTCTCATGTTCTTTTGTTTCCTGCAAAGAAAGTTCTGGCTTGAATGGAAAGCATGGCCTCGGGGCTGTCAGCTTACTCTGTTATAGACATGACACACTCACCTTGTACTTGAGTCCTGCTGTGCTCCCACTAATGTGAGTCTCCAGGAATTCTGTACTCCAGGGCATTGCAAATGTCCGGCTTTTTCCTCAGCTCACCTCCCTGGTGCTCAGTCAGCCCCCTCTCAGATCTCAGCCTCCTTTCAATTTCCCCTCTCCTCAGCCCCAGGTATCTTCAAACACTCTCCCTGATGTCCAGGGAGGAAGCCCCAAATCTGTGAACATCCTAACTGGCCAAGGCAGCACACTTACCCTTTCTTGCAAAGAACAATGGAACTCTTTCTTCAAAACTGCAGATGCCCAGGCAGGCCTGGGAATAAGCATTGAGGGGGATTTTCACCATGGAAAGTCCCCTTCACCCCCCTCTCCCCAGGATGACTTCTGTGAGGCACTTGTTCCAGAATATTCTCAACTGTGGAACCCCAGGTCTCCTCCCAGAGACTGTATTTCAGTAGCTTGAGGGCCAGGAATCTGCATTTAAAAAAAAAA